TGGCTGCCCGGGAGGCCTCCGGGGTGGTCCCTGGCAGGCGTCTTAGAACCGTGTGTGGGTCAGGTGCCCCTTGAGCCTTGTGTCTGTGAGCTGTGTGTCAGAGCTTATTTACTGTTGGGTTTAAAAAAAAAAAGAGTTACAGCGTGTCCAGACAGTCTGTTTGCTGTGTATGTATACATTGCCACACTTAAGTGGCATTCTTGGTGCTTCCTCACCATTTGGAGGTCAAGCTGCTTGGAAATAGTGGGTTTGGGTTGGTTTTTTTTTTTTTTAAATATGGGTGTGTATGTGTTTGATCTTTTTAAAATTGTTAATAGGCAGTATTGCTTGTTGTGGTTTGCCTATTAAGCGCTCCCCACAAACGCGGCTTTACATGTGTCTCATTTTCCTTTCTGAAAATAGAAAAATGGAGGATAATAATTTCAGAGCTCTAACAGCACCTCATGCTCACACAAAAGAATGGGGGAAAAGGTAGCTAACAGACTGTCTTTTTAGTAGTAATAACTGATTAGCTAAGACGTAACCCAGAGTTAGTAAGTCTAATGGATAGTAAGTCTAAGGTAGGCCTAATGGATTTGAAGCAATGTCATGCCAAATATTAGTTTGTTGTAGGTATGAGTTGTAGACTGTTAACTTTGTCTGTGTGCAGGGAATGTGTGGATGGATTTCTTTAGAAGAGCAGGGCATGCATTGTACATTACAAGTCTTTGGAGTTTGGATCATTTTGTTGACAAAAGCAAGTGAATACACTAGAAGTGCAATTTCGTGCTGCCTGCACTAAGCTGGCTTTATCTGCCCGTACCTCCCAATTCATGGCCTCGCATATTAGCAAAAGTCCTGTTTGTTAGCAGTTTAAGTTGTTACACTGAGCTGTGGACTAGGATCATGAAGATCTCGTTACATGTTCCCCTGTTTGAGAGGGTTGAAGGCTGGTCACTTAAGCAGAAGGACAGGAAAATTCTGGACCATCTCTGCTAGACTGACTAGAAAACATATAACTGCATCAGAACCTTTAAACTGTATTTGACATTAATGCTTGTGTTTTGGTTTTATTTTTTCTTACTTATGTGAAAAATGATTAGCTGATAGTTCAATACTATGTATATCTTAGATTAATATGATTAACATTGATTCCTTCCTGACATATAAACCTCAATACTTTTTTCCTTATCCACAGGACAATATGCTGGACTTTGTGTTTGCTGTTGATGATTCTGTGACCTGGCATATGATGAACTTGTTAAAGAACAGGAGTCATTATTCCTTCTTAAAAGTTTTTGGGCCAAAACAGATTAGTAGCATACAGAGCTATGGAGCAGGGATTTACTACAATACTTTAGTGCCATGTAATGGTAGGGTAAGTACAAGTAGTTTGAGTAAATTAAGTCAAATGTTGCCTGTGAACTATTGAAATTATTAGCTTAAAGCATATTTCTGTGCAGGAAACAAATCTTGTAGATTGTAGCTGGTTCTTAACTTGTGGTATCTTCAATATTTATGTCTCAAACTGTTTCAAAAACAGCACATTAATTAGAAAGCAAACAGAGCAGCTGTTCTTGCACTTTAAAAGTGAGCACTGTTTGGAATTTACAACTAAAGCACTTCAGAAACTGAATTTATATTCCTTATTACTTGGTGTCTGCCGGTTTTGGTGATTTAAAGTGTATCATGTCGGGAACAGGGCCTTCATTTCAGCAGTTGACCATGTAGTAATAACAAAGTGGATTCTTACTGTTTGTTTGACATAAAATGCAAATATTCAACATAGCAAGTTGGAATTGACATTTGTGTTGCTTAATGGCTAACATCCTGACCTGTGAAGCTTGAGTATGATTAATAATTCTAGGTAAGTAGTACTTGTCCAGCAAGTCCTACTCCTGCATCTGTGTGTAGACTGCCTGGTAAGGAGGAGTACAGATAGGAGTCAGGGGAGGGAAACACTGTATCTCTGTCTTGGTGTTGATTCTGAGTAACTCTTGCCATGTGGTGACAAACTGTATGTAGGTAAAGCAAGTTCTTTTAAGAAAGATGGGAAATAAAATTAAATGAAGGACAGTCATGGAAAAGTCATGTGAGCAATATATACCTAACTGAAGTTTCTCAGAGCATGCATGGTTGCAGTAATGTTGGGTGTATGTCAGAATTCTTCATAGAAAGTTGGAGAGGTAGATAAAGTAGTCTATTACATACTTGCTATTTTGTCTAAAGGCATCTGTATGAGGCAAGAATTTGGGGTTTAAACCTTGTTCACTTTATGTAAAAAGGGATTTTGGATTTTATTTTAAGGACCAATGATATTTGCTATGAAATTCTATTGTTCTTGGCTCTCTATGCTCTTATCTCACACTGTAATGATTCAGTCATATCACAGTCTGTGGTCCTTTGTTATCCAGAAATTCTGGAGTTGGCTGCCTTGGTGTGGTGATAATCTTTGGAAACTCAGGAAGTGCAAATTGGTAGCAAACTGTTGAAAGTTCATCTTTTTTCCAGTTACATAAAATAATCTAAAAAAAACCCCAAAACACAGTTTGTTTTCTAACATAAAAAAGCAAAAGCTCCCTGATATACACCCCACTCCTCAATAATGGTGCATGTAAATGTCTTAGCAGTTTTGTTTATTTTAGATCTCTGACAAGATATTTCTTGAGTGTTTTCAATATCATAAAGAATACTGTGGATTATTCAAACTATTGTAATGTCTGGCTGATACAAAACTGATCATAACCTTTCCAAAATCTTTTTATGAACAGTTGTATTTTAATGTTCAGATCTCTTCAGTGCCAATGTCTGTCTAGACTAGGTTTCTTTGGGACTTGAAGTCTTTTGCTTTAGTGATTGATCCTGGGGTGACTTTATTGTAACTTTGATTCTAGAAAGGATCTTAGAGGGTTTTGTGCATGTAAATGCATAAGTTTGCATGTAAATAGGAATTATTTTTTTTTTACCTCCTGTGTTCATTAAAACATTAAAATATTTTAATGCTTTGCATCCATTTTTTTTATTGGAGGTATGTGTTCCTTAGAATTAATGACAGTCGTAGTAAGTAATTAGTAAGTTTCATATAGTGAAAATGGTGCAGATATATGGTTTTTCAAAAGCCTTTATTTTGTTTTTTTCCAGATGATAAAATACGGTGTAATTAGCACTGATACCCTGATTGATGATTTACTTCACTGGAAAACCCTCTATGTCGCTGGACGCCTACAAAAACCGGTAACTGTTAGTCTGTTCAGTTACTTGTCTTGAAATGCAGGAAATTACAGGGCTGGAAAATTATCAGCTGTCGTTTCAACTTCAAACTGTTAAGGATTTATGCATCAGTACTGAACAAATGATCTGCCCTGATTTAGAGAGTCTAGTCTTAGAGGGATAATCTCTCAAAAAGGAAGTGAAATGTAGTCCTTAATGATATTCTGTGTTATGTGGAAAAAAACCTAAAGGTAAGTATATTAATCACAGTTTTTTGACTGGAATAACTGGACTACATTAACTCAAAGTCCATTTAATGTTAAATGCATATTTACCTTTTGTAACAAATTTGTAGGAGTCACCAAAATTTAATACAGTTAAATAATGGAAATCTTTAAAGATGAAAGCTGCTTTGCTGTGCAGTTACTGTCTAGTTCATTGTATGGTTAAAAGTATCTATAATTGACTGAACCATGTGTTAAGCATGTTGGTTTTTCTTCTCTATGTTTGGGTCATAAAAAATGAGGTCTTTGCTTTCCCATGCATCCCTGATTCAGTGTGCTATCAGCAGATGGCAGCAGTGCTAAGTTAAAATTTCTTAAGAGGGGTGGGAGGAAGGAGAGGAGAACTCTGTTCAAGTCTTAGAACAGAAGTTAACTATGCTTTTAACAAAAAATTTGGGGTGAAAGTTTGAATAGATTATCTTGGTGCTACTGGCTTTTCTTTATCTCCAGGGATGTATTATAGCATGATACAGGTTAGAACAGCTGTTATCTTTATAAAGAATGAAACTTAATATATTGAGAAAAATAACTGAAGGAAGTATTCTGAATTTCACATTAATAATGAATACTGAATATTTATTTTCAGTGTAACTGCATTTGCTGCTGCTTTGATTTATTTTAGGATTTTTCATCTTAGTATATATAAATTGTGCTTCGTATCTTTTGGTTAAATTCAATGGGAGCACATACTTGCAGAAGGCGGCAGAATTTGGTATTTTGTTTGGTTGCCAACAAGACAGTGGAGATGCTGCATATGTGTTTAATAGATAAAAGAAGAAAGCAGTCTGGATTATTTTCATAAAGCTCACAGGAATTTGCACTGAGGAAAGACTGCAGGACTTAAACTAGAATTGGACCGAAAGATTACTTGGTGAATGTTTAAACTGTCTTTTCCTGTAGAATCTATAAAATCACTAACTAGGATTTTGAATGTTATACCCTGTTGGCCAAAAATGACCAAATAATCTGTTTAGATCTGTTGTGCAGGTTTCAAATATGTGCTGGTTCTGGCTTCACCAGTGGTTTGATGTTTTCATATATATGTTTTAGGTGGTATCAATAGAAAGCTTTTTTTACATCCTTAAAAATGTGCAATAAGCTTCTTTTGGAGGGGACACAGGCTTAGGTTTGTTTTCTTGTACACTATAATCTCTTACATACCATGTGCCATCTGTGCTAGTTCTAGACACAGCTGACTGAAGCCAGATTAATATTGTTTAACAGTTTGTTTGGGAATTTCCTCCTTACTCTGAGATAGAGGAGAAAGAGCCCAGCGCCTTTCTGGTGTTCCATTACAAAGCTGCTGTTCTATGAGTGAAAGCTATCCAAGCTATTCTAGCACATGAGCTAAAACATTTGCTCTGACTTGAAAATCTTGGCTTAATTTTCACTGGAGGTTTTTGTTTCTGTTATAAACTGGTTGCCTTGACCAAATAATCTTTCCAGAATGTTTGGCAGAATAGATGGAGTTTGGAGTTGCTGCTTAGAAATGCTGACTTTCTTCCCAGGCTTCTTTGTGTTAAAAGTTTATTGGCTTTTCATCCCACATGAAATTTATAATGCTAAATTCCCATTTAACTGTATTGAAAAATTGAATAAACTTAGTTGTAATTTCTCCATAACTGACAGGTTTCCTGGGGAGAAAAATGCTGCTGTACCTAAAAAGTAAAATAAATAAGCACAAGTGACACACAGTTGGTTTTCAGAGGAAGAAGATTTTAAAAAGCATCTGAAGTATTACTGATTTTTGTTAAACATAGAGTGTAAGTAATTGCTTTAGTGTAAGCAGCTGTATTGACTGTTGTCCTGGAGATACTATTAAGAGAAGGAAGTGTTTAATAAATTGAAGTGAGGTGAGAGAGAGAGGAGTATGAATAGTGTATAGAAATATCTTGTACTTTTTAGTGGGGTCTTGGGATGTTCAGGTTTTTTATATTATAAAAATTCCCATGAAGGTGTGACAGAGCACATGTTACAGATTTTTTTTTTTTTCTCCATTGTCCAAATCTGTAAAAACATTTTTTGAAAGAGAATGGAAAAATCCTCTTATCATGGTATTTAGCCGAGTGTGGACATGGCCAAATGGCAAACTGGAATAGCGCTTTTGACACCTTTCATTCTATAATGAGATTTTCTTTGTGTCTTTTGTTTGTAAGTATCTTTGTGTACATGTGCCTGCAGCTTCTTGTATATGAATTTCCTAGCAGTGAAGGTAGTATATTTCCTACTTTAAACTGTTGTGATGACTGAGGGTCATGCTTATTTCTAAAATTGAATATATCCCTTATTTAAAATATTTAGTAATTTTAAAGTCTCAACTGTTAGCAGTTAACTGTTAGTTAACTGAATTCTCTGTATACTGTAAAACGAGAATAAATTGGCTGCTCCCTTTCCCCCTTATGTGATATGGTACAATGACTAGTTCTGATCATAAGTTCTCTGTACTAAGAAAAAGCCTTCCTTAACTTTGGTCTTCTTTCAGATTTACCCCAGGAATCAACATTCATCCTTGTCATACCTCGGTGATAACTATTGCACTCTGTCTTCCTGGGAGATTTCTAGCTACCTGAACTGTTTAAAATTTGTTCATAAATGGTGTCACTACTGCAGTGTTTCATGTGTTTATATTTTGAAGCCTAGCATATTTCCCTTTGAAAAAAATCTGGTTTATGTTAGGGAGTATTTTTAGCAGAGGAGGAGATTATTTCTTTTACTTCACTAAAGCAAGTCCATGGTCTTCCATGAGAAGGAATAGCATCTCTGCTGCATTTCACATTTTAAAAGGCTGTAACTGTGGTGTTCTTAAAACAGGCCCATAACTTGCTGTTATTTCCAGGGCTAGCCTAAGATATAAGCAGTTTGCGTGACTGCTTGGGGTGCTACAGACTTCTCTCTTCTGCTTTCCTTAGAGTTTCCCTGTAGCAGCAAGTTATGAAAGTACGTATAAGTGAATTAGTTGATGAGATTTTAAGTATTAGTTTATCCTCATGACCAACCTGTCTTGTTTATTGGATCTTATTTGAGCAAGTCTGTATGCATTCAGTAAACTTCTCCCATGGTTTTTAAGGAAATAAAATTTACTCTGGGCCCCCTGGCAGATGAATGTATTGTATTTTAATGTGTTTTATCATTGTCTTTCATTTTAATGCTAAAAAATATAAAGCAATTTGCAGGAGAAGTTAGGAGGAATTCTGAAATTTTTGCTTGTACAATGAACTCTTTATTTTTAAAATGAAAATCAAAGAAGGGAAAACATCCTTCAAAAATCCACCCTGGACGAATTCCAGACTATTGTATAGATTTGATATTAGGCAAAACCATGCTTTACTGTGGAATGATTGAAACAAGCAGCCTGTATACTGTTGCATTCACCGCCATGTCAAAATAAGATATTGTTCTAGTTTTATCCCTCTTAAATATTTCACCATAATTAAAAATTATATTCTGAATATAGTATTGGCCAGCCATGACATTGCTTTGTTCATGTCCTTTCTATAAAAAGAATTTTGTGTAACAGATATGTCTGATTCTCTTACTTTTACTGAATCTGGGTTTGTTATTTTTTCCTTCATTAACAGAGTATTTACATTCCTAAAGGAAAATATTTATTTGAAAGTATACCTTAGCTTTTTAAGGTTATATTTGGGGGGCAGAATTTCAAGTAATACTGCAACTCATTTGTGTGTGAATGGGCTTTTGGGGAGTAAAAACAAGTTGGATACATTTGTTCATAACTGCCAGTGGGTTTGCATTTTAAGGTATTCCAGAGTAAACAAATACTAAGAAGCTGCCCTTTATAAGCAAGACAGTATTGCTTAATCAGAACACTTGAAAAAGATGGAAACTCACAATGGGCAGGTATTCTTGGGAGAGTTGTTTCTGGAAGAGCATAGTTGGCCATCTTGTAAACCAGGCTGACTTCATCTGTCTAATGTTCTATAATAATATGTTTCTATATTCAGTTCTTACTAAAGATCTGCTTTTTATTCCAGTATATTTCCATATCCTAGGTGACTGGATTCTGTAGTTTGTCTTGTTGAATGTTTCCTAAAAATAAACTTTTCTTTGTGGCACGTAGAAGCGCTCAACTTCAGTGATATGTTCTTCCTGTATATGTGAAGTTCCCATTGAGTTCACATTCTGCTCATACAAAGTGCAAAATAAAGCCCTGCTTCTTCTAGGAGGATAACTAATGCCTAAGAAACTACTTGAAGCATGTGATAGGAGTCCTCTATTTAAAAAAAAAAACAACCCCAAAACCAAAACCAGAATGAAGATGAATAGGAAAACTTACCTCTTTGTCTTGTATTCCATTGTCTTTCAGTGTGACAGTGGTCTTTTTTTCTTGTTGTGTAATCACATATGAAGTATTTCTGTTAATGCATTCATATTTACTGTTTTGATTAATCCTAAATTCATGAATATTGAAAGATGAATAGCTCTTC